TTTATTACTATTATTTTATGAGTACCAATTAGATGCTTTCCAGAAGGACCTTTTAGGGTGAGGACCTTCTGGTTTTTCTTACCCTTCATTTCACGGACAAATGTATCACCGTCAAGTTGTTTCATTCGAGAAGCAAAGGTTTACGTAGCAAATAGACTTTCCAACAATACCTCCTTATGGTTGAACCTGTGATATCATCATGACCCTTCTCATTTCACCGGCTTACCAACTTGGAAAGCAGAATCGAAACCATTATCCAAGAACAGGTCCATTGTATAAGGCCCACTACAAATGACCACTCAAATTTTAGACCCTTCCCGCAATTGGTAAGATCGCAAACCAACCCCATAGACTTGAACTGTGCATAATAGGAAGTACGAGCGTACGGCCTGCATCACTCCAATCCGTCACTTCATAAGGACGCCCATGAGATCCTAGGAATAGGGCGCACACACATCCGCACATACGCACGAAAAGATTCTGGAACTTCAACTGAGGCAGGGGCTTCATCAAAACAAAGAAACGCCAGTGAAACTGATTGCAACTTTGTGTTTTGCTACCCCATCGGTTTCTCCACAGCCCTTTCTCCTTTTACGGCAACTAGAAAAGGCCTCATGGCTAGAATGGCTGTCATTCGGCACAACATTCTGGCACAGGACTGGGTAGCAAAGGATCGGTTAAGTGTTCAAGAGTAGCCTGATGAAGGATGGAGTTGACTCCCTGGTCAACTGTACCATCACGGGCGGTGCAATTCGAATCGATGTCGACCCCTCGCGCAACATCGCTGTTGGATAAGTTTTTGAAACTTTCCTTAACTTCCTTCAAAACCTCCTCGAATACCACTTTGGTTCTTTATGCCCAACCTTCTGCTTCTTCATCCACTAGGCGTATTGAAAATTTTGTAGGGTTTCCAATAAGTCTTTTCAAGAACTACCATTTCGATGTTATTAACAGAACGTTCCTCTTATGATCAGCACTTCAGAACTTGAACGGCTGATTTACTTGAACGAAAGTTCGATACATTTTTGCTTTTTCTGTATGTTTATTGTTATATTCTTTACTCATTTTGTTTATTTCAAACACTGATCAAAATTGTGCTCATTTTATATAGGGATTTAGTAGTTCGCCTTCGAAATATGCGTATTGATCTGAGCTTTCTTCTATTATTTGTAGTTCCTAATAAGTGATAAATGTATTTCCATTCCAGAATGGACCAGCGAAAGAGGGTCGGTCGTTTGGTAGGAGCGCAGCCTCGTCAACGGTGAGTTTTACGAAAGTTTTTTTTAATATTTGTCTTCGTCCCTTTCAGGTTTCTTGCATTACAGGCTATTTTTCCACTTGCTCCAATCCATTAATCATGATTTCGTTCGATTAGAAGAGTAACGGTTCGTTTCAATCCTTTCCCTTTTTCCAATTCTCTTCCAATCGCATTAACTTGTGGCTTTTAGAAAACAGTAACTTAGTGTGGTTTTTTTCCAGATCAAATGCCATCATTCTGGAACAATCGCGAATATTAGGAGCGGTGAAGGTCAATTGTAATGGATTAGATGAAAGCTTGTATTTTTCCCAGACAAAAAAGTAGGTTGAACATAGCATCAAGTGGTATTACGGTATTACCACAATATTGACAATGCTGCTTTAGGAAGCGTTGGACCAGGCACGAATTGCTAACTGATGGGCAAGGCAATCCGAATGAGCCGTCTTATTCGAAACCAGGACTTTTGGCTGAGCCCCGCTTTGCATAATTTTTAAGCCGCTCTCACAGTTTTGACTGTTCGATTAACGCATATTTTTGTCGGAGTGGAGGGAGAGGAGGGGTTCTGGATTTTTTTCAGCAAATCAAATTATTTAATTCTAATTGAATGACAGTAATTATTTATGGTTTAATTACTCACGTTTGAGGCGTGTGCAAAGTGCAGTAGAGTTTGGTGGAACACACGTTCGGGGTGACTAGCTACAACTAACTGGCACATTTGGCCATCAGTGTCGGTCGGTCGGTGGCATCGTCGACGACGTCGAGAACGTCGTTGGCTGCAGGTAGTCGTCATTCTTGCCACGATGCGTAACATCGGTAGAATACTGCCCGAGTATGGCACAGGACGCAGAGCGATTGAACATTGGAAGAAGCTCGGCTTTCCGAAGCAAGCGCTGTTAAGATGCCATCAGAGTTGTAGGCCAGTGTC